TGTTGAGCATGTAAGGACTGGATAAAAAAATCGTTCTTTTGAACACAACGCACTGTACATTTCCTTGTCAACCAGCACTGTTTAGTATTTGATGATCCCCAGTTCATGCATTCAGGTTTTAATCCCCTTAAAGCAAGGAAACCACGGAATAGTGTGCTTTTAGTTTACTAAAATACATGTGCTCCCCGCAAGTGTGATTTTGCTGACGTGTTTGGATAAAATAAACTGAAAACCAAAAGCTTTTCACTTTGAGCATTAAGACACAACATTTTCATTTTTAACATTAAGCATTAATGTTGAAGCAAGTTGTCCTTACAGAGGAACTTCACCCACTGTAAAATCAGTCATTTGGTGCAATCTGGCTACCTGCACATTGTTTGTAACCTCTTTAAAGAAAACCTTAGAAGTAGCAATACTCCAACAGATCTTGAACTTCAGGTTTTACTTTTCTTGAGCTGGCAGTGGATATATGGTTCTTGCTTCATTTTGTGACCTGATTAAATATGTAGCTTTGAAGTCCAACCCAGGCTGTAGCCTAGTTGTCCTTTTAATCAAACTTCATTGATAAAATTGGGTGCTTGTATTTTGGCTACTTGTTTAATAGTGTTAGGATCGCAAAGATCACCACTAGGCTTTGGAGCTTTGTATTCATCATTTAAGTTTGGGGTTTGTTTTCAACTTAGTTAATGATGGAGTGAGGGGATGTGCCTATCTACACTAGGGTTTCAGATAGCAGTGAGAGTGCGTGTTACTCACCATCCCCAGTTAGACATAGTTTTAAATGGTAAAACAGTTGTGCTGCTTAGGTGAGCAAAATGGTTAATGTGGGTGTGGAAGTTAAATGCTTTACATCTTTCAAAAACAAGAACAAACCTAAAAACCCCCACCAAGCCCGCACCAGATTCTGTTCTTGCTTGTTGTTTCCTGTGTGCTGATTGAACTAGTCTGCATTTCTTCTGCAGACGTGAACTTCTAGAGGATAAAAATATTGTCCAGTATCTTTGGACTGCCAGTGTTAACGTATCTGATGTTCTGTGCAGAGTAAAGGTGCTGTGTGAGGAAATAATTTTGCAGTGGTTTTTGTCTCGTAATGACGTGATCTCGTATCCGTTTGTGGCCAGACACAGAGGAGTACAGAGAGGGCCTGGTGATGCATCTGTGTGTCACAGAAACCTGTGCAGGAGTAGCATCTGCCTCTCCGGGCCTATGTTGTTGTAGCTCCTCTTGCAGTTTAAAACAAAGTGAGGATCTGCCCATCGGTGTCGACATTACCTGTGACAAAGCTGGTCATGGTTTTGGTGGTAGCCTGCAGTTGGCAGGTTGTTACGGTACAGGTGCTGCTGCTTCAGCTGAGGGATTTAACTTGATGCCTCCTAATTCTAGAGAACAGGACCTTAAAAATAGTGTTGCCCATGTAACCAAGCAGCTGCTGCCTACTGAGCAGCGAAGCAGTTTTGTGACTTCTTGAGAAGGGCAGTTTCCTGATAGTGGGTTGCTCATTTGCTGCAGTTGGGTCACCAGTGGAGGCACGGTAAGAACTGAGGGTGCAAGAACACATGCTGGGCTAAGACATCTCATAGGCTTGGGAGCTTGCACACCTCTCACTGTCTCCAGAAAGAGCTATTCCCACTGGGACAGAATGTGGTGTCTCCTGGAGAAAGAGACAGTTGTCTCTCAGGCCTGTTGATTTATGTCCATGTCCTTTTGAGGCAGCATTTTGAAATGTCTGCAGTTTGCAACGGGACCTTAATAGGTGAAACAGAAAGAAACTTCACCATGTAGCAAAGAAAGGAGGGTTCTGCTCTCCATAACTGAAGTTGTTTCCATGAGACAAATGAAATAGGTACCTGCTGCAGTGACATTGCAGTCTGAATGCTGTCATCAAAACTTCTGTTAGGATTAAATGCAGAGCGTACAGTACCTTAATAAGGTGTATCTTATTTCCTCCTCCTTATTTTTATCTGCCAACCTCTGTTGATCCCAGCTCCACAGAGACTGTTACAAACCTCTTGTACTACTTCCACCATTTTGCAGACACTTGGTCTGTAGCCTAGGGAATGAGCAATGTGCTTTTTTAACCTCTGGTTTGAATGTTTGCATGTGATGCGATTGAATCCCCCTGTGTTATGCAGCAGAATTTATTTTGCCTGAGAAGTTTTATACTTTGTTTGTTGATGACAGAATACCCCCAAATAAAATCCTAAACTGAAGCAAAAATAAAAGAAAAAAGCTGCACAGAATGTTCTGCACTGCAGGCTCTGGTGGGCAGCAGACACAGATCAGGCATGTGGTATATGGGATGGAGTGACTTCTGGAGGACACTTCCTTGGCTCTGGAAAGTAGCTGATCCTACTGTTTGTTGTGGCTTAGAGGAGATGTCCACTCTCCATTAATGCGTGAAGAGCTGAGGGATGCTACCATGTTGTGCCACTGCGTGACCTGTGGGAACTAACTAAGACAGTGGAAAATCTTCTCAAAAAAGACTCAATCCCTGCAGTGAAGTCAGAGCTCCTGCACAGGGCAGGCACTGCCTAGAATTTCCACATGGGACTGTTAGCAGAAACTACCCAGAACAGATTTTTTTCACAAGATGGGTAAAAGGAAGGGTCTAACCACAGTACGGATTAGTTGAACATTGCTAATCATTCTCAGAGGCTGAAGGTCGGGACGTGTGTGAATTTATATTTAATGGGTTTTCTTCCCTGCCATGCTGCTTTTCCACAGAAAATATAGCTCAGAAATCTAAAAGGAGGTGCATCTAATGCATGCATTAGTGATTTTAAGCCATGCTGCAACCCTGCTAAGATGTGGAAAAGTAGATTCCATTCTAGCTACAGGTAGCTAGGGGCTTGAGGACCTCCATAGACTCGAATCCATTGGTGATCAGAGGTGGTGCATTTGGCACAGCCCGGAGCACAGTTTTGGTGTTTCAGAGAGCAGCAGGACATGTGCGCAGAGATGGAGCAGCAGTGTTCCCCTCTATCTGAACACAGTAGATTTGAAACCCAGAGGATCAGGAGACAGTATATGCACGTTAAAACTTCTGAAGCAGGGTGAGGCCATGAATCGGTAAGGAACACAAGTAACAGGTGTGTTTCCCATCACACTAACATATGCCTGTCGGGTTGCATTATCTGACTGGTTTTGATATATCTGTCTTGCTGAGTTTTAGTGTTGGTTCCAGTAATTACTAATGTAGTTTGATATTAAAAGGTAATTTTGATGCCTTGTCCTTAACATGCGCAGAACTTGCTTCAGCTTTGGAAATTGAAATGGGGATTTTTCTGTGCCACAGTCCCGTAAGCTTGTGTATCTTCATTCCCAATTACCTTCTCTGCCAACCCAAATGGCAGTGTACCTGGGGGCTGTTTTTAGACCTTTTGTGTAAACTTGTTTTCATGACTAACCCTGTATGTTTCCTCTCTTGGTTGCCAATTACCTGGAGCTGGGATATCATTTATTTATTTCCTCCTTTACCCTCTCAAAGAAGACAATGGGCAGGTTCTCAGCCTACCTACATGGTGGACTTTAGGTAACATCTCTGTAACAACCGAGTTTGATCTATAAACGTGCTTGGCTAAATGTCTGATCTGCAATACTTGTAATAGTTTAAAATTCAATAAATACATTTTTAACAGGTGCTCTGTGAAGGCTGAGTGTTTGCACAAACTGCTGATCTGTCTTGGCCTTAGGAGAAACCTACACCAGCCACAACTGTTGAAAACCACTTTATTTTTATTTTCTCCAAACAATGTTTTTTCCCTCCCTCAGACAATAAATAAAAAGTTTATTTCTGAAAAAATAAAATAAAGGAACAGAACCATACATATGTACATCAGCCACACAGGCATCTGGTGTGTGGGATTGGACTGGGGGGAGGGAGAGAGGTAGGGCGGAAAATAAGGCTCCAGGTGGGTTGAAGATCAGGCATGTTCTAGGCTTGGACCAAAAGTTGCAGCAGTGCTGCACAAGTGAACAAGACCCAGCTCTGGTGGTAAAGGGCAAATTACTGTTATACAAAGAGCGCTACCTGTGGCATGCACTGGTCATGAGGTGGAGGAAGTTGGGAAATGATGGACAGATGGAACCATTCCCTGGGCCAGCCTCTCCTCCACCCAGCCACTTCTCTCTGCTACAGCCCAACCATGTTCTACCCTGCTCCTTCTGGTAGGAGAGCCCGAGTGGGATGGGTGGGGAGGAAACTGGACAGAGTAATTAAAAAGTCCAGACTGCTGCCCTCACCTAAGTTTTGCAGGAACCAGAGATCCACAGAGGCAAGAAAAGAGGCTTTTAGGACTGCATCTCCCCCTCCCAGCCACAGAGACTGCTCTCCCTCACCATCCCCTTCCCAGAATGGGCTCAGGTGTTGGCTCAGTGGGTGCCTGCCAGCTCCTGCCTCCCCTCCCCAGGCACTGGCAGGGCTGAGGCTGACTGCAGGCAGCCCGGTGCCAGCACTTCTGCTTCTCCAAGACCCTGCCTGCCCCTCTGCTTGTCACTCAGTGTTAACTGGCTCAGGTAAGCAGCACCCACTGCATGCACACAGCTCTTTATGCAAGGGGGAGAGTTCTGCACAGTAAAAAGAGGGTATGCTCCCTTTTCAACCCAGATGAGCTAGGGGCAGAAATGAGGGGAGGAGAGGTGTTCTTTTGTGGTTGGTTGTTTTTTTTTTTAAATCAAGACAATAAAATAGGGCTGGAAAGTGATGAAGACCAGGCACTTGAGGAAACTGTATACTATTAATTTTTTTCCTCTCCCAAAGAGCCTGGACAATGTCAGGGTTTGTGGCCTTTACAACTGTCATGCTTCCAAAGAAAAAAAACCAAACAAAAACCAACAAAACAGAAACAACCAAGATGAGGTAAGAATTTTCTCTACGAAAAGGACGTGAGGTCCAGGGTGAATGGCAGTGTCCAGCACTATTGCTTAACATCACGGGGCTCCATGCTCACCTTCCCCCTCCACGCCTGGCCCTGTCTGCCTGGCTGGTCTCAGCCTTGGAGCTAACAGCTGGGTGACGTGGTGATGGGGCTGTGCAGGTAGGGGAGGCTGCTAGGGGTGGCATGGACACTGACAGAGACTGGGAAGCTGAAGACAAACTGGGAGGTAGGGGTAGAGGTGGCCTTGCCCCGCTCCCGCAGCGTCCCCGAAGGGCTGACAGCTTCCACTGCACACGAGGTGGCCAACACCTGTGACTCAAACTGCAGCAGCTGCCCCATGAAGCTGAAGTTAGGGGAGATGATGCTCCGGCGCTGCTTGACAAACTCAAAGGCTTCCTCCAACTTGACACGCTTCTTCTTCATCAGGTAAGCCAAGCAGATGGTGGCAGAGCGGGAGATACCGGCCTGGCAGTGGACTAGGACCCGGCCACAACACTCCTTCACAGAGTCTGGAGGGCAACAGGGGATGAAACATGAGACCAACACCTTTCCAACAATACCCAACCCCTTGCCAAACCTGCAGGTGGTGGCTGACCTCCCTCCCATCAGTGCAACAGATGGCCCTTGCTGGACCCCAGTCCCTTCAGAACCACGGGCTCCAGGTCTTTGGGGCAGGACCCTCCCCTCCCAGTGAAAGCCAGACAGATGCAGCTTGTCTGCACAGGCACTCACCGATGTACTCTATTGCCTCCATGAACCAGGAGCTGATGTCAGCTTTGTGGTTATCCTCCACAGGGATACACTTGTACTGGTAGTGCCCCTCAAAGTGGTTGGGGCAGTCTGAGGAGACATTCAGCAGGGCCGTGATGCCCAGTGCATCAAGCATGTCCCGCCGGGCAGCATGGTAGGCACTGCCAAGGTAGAGGAAGGGAAGGATTTCCACTGGGCCACCCTGTTAGAAAGAAAAACAACAGATCTGAGGGTGGCCAAAGGACAGCAGTGGGCAGGACACAGATCCAGATAGCTGGCCCTGAGCTATACAGAAACCTGGCACACAATCCGGGGTGCTCAAAGGAGGCAGGATAGGCTGCCCTTATGGGCTGTTAAACTGTTTCCAGCCACCCCCTCTTCACCCGGTCCAGGAACAGGCAGCTGTGCTAATGGCTTTTGGACTTATCCATTCTCTATGCAGCACAAACATCCTGGGATCAGGACACTCTGCTCTCCCAGGAGAAGGGGCCTCTGGGAGACTACAGCAGGATCAGGTTGCAATGCTGGAAGGAGTGGTCAAAATAGCTTAACACTGGGCTTCTAGATATACCTGATCATGAAGGGGGGTCCCACAGGAACTGCAGCCTAAATCCAGGGGCTCAGCACTCGTAGGGGGTGACACATTGCTCAGGGACTTGGTTTTTACACAGAATTCAGGATACTCCAAGGAGAAACGCTCATAACCACCTGCAGGAAGAGATGCAGGAAGCGTTAATCTCAGGCTACATTCACAGCACTGCAGAACAGCCTCGCCAGAGCCAACACATCTCGCTGTGCCCTTCGCCACTAGATGATGCTACAGTGGTGGAGAGTGGTCTCCTGCCCCAGGATGAGCCACCAGGCTCCTGGCAGCAAGGGGGGAATCCTTGAGGCCCCACCCCTCCCATGTAGAGTTCTGCAGTGCTCTTGGCTGCCCCAAGTCTCTGGTCTAAGGTTTAGTTCCCTACATGCCAAAACCTCAGACTGAGACCAAGGTTGCTCTCGAACACAATGGAGCAAGGATTCGTTGCCAGCATCCTCCAACTTTGATGAGAAAATCTGCTCCCAGGCCAAGAACTGTTCAGTTCCCAGCTTTCCCAGATACAACATCCTGCTACACAGCACAGAGAAGTCTCTCATTTTCCCAGCCTCACCCTCCAGCCCAGAGCTCCCAAAACAACCAGCCAGGGAAACCCTGGTACTGGCCAGGTACAGTGAAGCTAACATCACAGCAAACCTCTCCAGAGAGAGATAGACACGTACACGAGCTGAACGTGGCAGTGAGCACCCTGTGAAAGAGCAGCTTGCTCCTTTGACCTGCTGCCAGGGGGTAAAGCAAAGGTGACCTCAGATCTTCCTAACAGCAAACAAAACAAGAGGAAACCCCAGTGACTTCCCAGGTCAGGGAAACTGCAGAGTTGGCTGCAAATTAACACTTCCAGTGAGATTTCCTTCTCTCATCCACATCAAAGTAACAACCCTGACATCCTTGTAGAGTCTGATCTTGAGCCTTAAAGCCAATGGAAATCAGGTATTTTGCTATCACCATGGAAATCTAGCAAGACCAAGCCCTAGCTCCCTGGAGAGCTCCTGAAGGCTCACCCCAACTGCAGGACCCATGCCTGCAGATTTGGGCTTGCAGACTCAGCAGTACACATGTTCCTTATCCTGCCTTAGCTCTGAGACTGCCCTGAACAGGGCTCGATGTTCAAAAGACCAGCAGATGCCAGTGTTCCCAGCAAAGCAACCCTGTGATCCCAAGGCAGCTAGAAATCAGCACTGCCAGCATCTCAGTGTCCTTTATGGCTCCCTTCCCATGCCGAAGGAGGACGCTAGTACCTCACAGCATAAACATGCATATGCATCACTGAGTTTGCACTGTCCCTCCCATGGGAGCAGGACAGTTTGCAGGGGCCAGGTTTCCAGGGCCTGACGTCCCTTTACAGTCCTACTTGATAGACTTGAAGGAAAACCCAAAAACAAGTGCACCTGTTAGACATCTCCAGGAGCTCAGATCCTAAAATCCCAGGACCTACCGCATCCCTCCCTGGTGGCCATCACACCATCCTGAAAGGGAGAAGCGTCCCAGGATGATGTTCAGAAATGGGGTCCCTGCTTGGAAAGGCAAGGCGACCCTTTCAAACACTCAAAGACACTTCTCCTCAGCGCATCTCATCAGACCTAACAGCCAGTCCAGCCAAGCACCAGCACCATCCCCTGGAGGAGCAGCAGCAGCAGGAGCCAGGCTGTGCAGCTGCCCATTGCCAAGCAACACCCGGCCAGGCTGCTTCGCAGGCAACTGGGCAGCAGTCTCACCTGCACAGAACAGACCCGGGTCCCCATCATGACCTGCACCCAACACACTTGCATTTGGGCAGGCACGGTGCCGGGTTAGCGTGGCTCTTGTGAAAGCAGAACGAGCTCAATGGCTCTAGTAGCTCTGTGGGAAGTGAGGAACGTGTCTTCAGTGCCAAGCCTGAGTCTCCAGGAGCCCATTCCTTCAAGGACTGGGAGCCCCAAATGACCTTCCACAAGAACCACAGGGACACCAGAAGCCCGCGGCTGACAGAGGGCAGCCCTGAAGCCCAGCAGCACGCCCTGCCACACGCACGCAGCTCCTGGGGA